AAAAAAAAAAAAAAAAGAACATAATGACCTCAGAGGTCCCTTCCATCGGCAGAATTCGGTAAAAAAAAAACTCAACTTCAAATCGAACTCAAGGATAAGACGGGGGTGGGGGCGCTCGGGTGCTGACCAGGGTGATAGTGGCGACAGGGTTTCCTCTGTTGTCCCCAGGAGCTCAAGAGAATGACATGACGGCTGATGTCAGCCGCCAGGGTGGGAACAAGAAAGCACAGACAGCCACAGGCCTCTCCAGGGTGACAGGTGCCTAAATACGAATAGCAGGTCACTGGAAAGGGCAGTGCGGCCGAATCCGCCCCGTGCACGGGCTCTCGGGGAAGGCAAGCCAGGGATATGAGAAGGCTCGGGGGCCGACGTGGGGCAAAGGAGCGGGAAGTTCTCGCGCCCACTCGCTCACCCTGTTAGGATACTCCGTCTCCACACAGTCCCCACACATGTCGACGACGCTGACCGAGAAGGGCCTCCAGCGTTTCCGGAAAACGAAATCTCGCGAGAGCTAAACAAACCGTCGCCGCATGCGCCCCAAGTATTGCTGCTGGGGTCGTCGGAACCGAGGGGAAGTCTCCGCCCCTTGGCAACTGTTGTCAGGGCGTGGCCTCGCCTCCCGCGCGACCTCTGTAGGCCAAGCATGGGACGTCACCCTCGGAGAAAGACCAAGAAGGTACTGCGGACCCCGGGCTTTGCCCAAGAACAGTGGATCTTGGACTAAGCAAAGTTCTCGCAGGCGCCTTCCTGAGCTTAGGCTAACAGTAAAGCAAATCCCAGCACACATGAGAATTGTTTTATTTTGGCTACTCCATACAGAAATATGAAAAGTCAACACTTTAAATACCCTTCTCAGGTCAGTGAGGGTCATAAGAGATCAATCTCGACAGGTGAATAAAAAATAATTGAAGTGTTTGGGAAGAGGCATATAGTGCTCTGGAGAGAATCTCTTAAAAAGAATACTGAAAATGCTGGTAATAAGTGACAACCCCCGAGTCCTCTGGAGCATGTATGGACGTAAACATGCTTCTACGGTATGTGTCACAGAAGTACCTCAGGGCAGGCGAACACTGTGTAACTAGAAGAGGGCCAGGTCAATCATCCTGCACCATTTCCCAAACCTCTGGATCTCCAAATGCTGGTGATTGGAGCCCTCCCTCTTCTTTTCTCTGGGTATGAAGAGCATCATTTGCAATGATATAATTAACCTGAATAGGAATCTCCGAAGTCTGTGTCTGTGCTTCTGAACCACATGTCTCCATCACGCCCAGCTACTCAATGGGAACATCAGCCTTCTTTCTCAGCCCTCTTTTACTACCTTCAGATCAGTGCAGATTGTGAAGCACAGGAGACTCTAGGATCCAGATTCTTCAAAGGAGGGATTAACCATTTCAAAGCAAGCCAATTTAATTGGGTTTGCTAAAACGAGAATTATCTCTCTACTGAAGCACTGAAAGTGTAACCCTTTAGTATTTCAACCTCTATAAGTATCTGCAAAGGTAACTAGAATTGTAGGTATGGCCATGCATGGTGGTTCACACCTGTAATCCTGGCATTCCAGGAGGCGGTGGCAGGAGGATCACTTGAGCTCAGGAGTTCAAGACTAGCCTGAGAAAGAGCAAGACCCCCCCCCCATCTCTACTAAAAATAGAAAAACTACCCAGGCACTGTGGTAGGCACCTATAGTCCTAGCTACTCTGGAGGCTGAGGCAGGAGGATCGGTTGAACCCGGGAATTTGAGGTTGCTGTGAGCTAGGCTGACACCACTGACCTCTACCCAAGGTGACAGAGCAAGAGTGTTGGTTTTTTGTTTTTTTAAATTACAGATGTGCTAAGAAACACCACAGGAACTAGAGCCATCAAGGTGTACTTATTCTTAGAATAATTATAATGCCTCCCATTTGTATGACATTTTCTATCTTTCAAGTGTCCTCATTTCAGTTTCTTTTCTTTTCTTTCTTTTCTTTTTCTTTCTTTCTTTCTTTTTTTTTTTTTTTTGAGACAGAGCCTCAAGCTGTCCCCCTGGGTAGATTGCCGTGGCATCACAGCTCACAGCAGCCTCCAACTCCTGGGCTCAAGGGAGTCTCCTGCCTCTGCCTCCCAAGTAGCTGGGAACCACAGGCACCTGCCACAACGCCTGGCTATTTTTTGGTTACAGCCGTCATTGTTGTTTGGCAGGCCCAGGCTGAATTCAAACCCGCCACCTTAGGTGTATGTGGCTGGTGCCTCAGCCACTTGAGCCACAGGTGCCTGTATGTGGCTGGTGCCTTAGCCACTTGAGCCACAGGCGCCGCTCTCATTTCAGTTTCTAATTTTATGCTATTACAACCCTACAAGATTGGCAAGAAAAGTATGTTTCCACTTTTCAGATGAAGAAACCAAAGAAATAGGGGTTAAAAGTTTTGTCTGTGGTAACAGAATTACTTAATAGTCAGCCAGGACTTGGACTCTGTTTCTATTCTAGGCTCAACTTCTTTCTTTTTTCTTTTTCTTTTTTTTTTTTTTTT